CATTGATTACCAATAAATAACAACTGGAGGATGTTTTTATAGCATAGTGTATTAACTACTCATCATCATAACAGTGTATTCACAGGACCTGATAACTTGGTTAATATAGCTTCACTCTCCCCCCCCTGCTTTTTATGGCACTTTTCTCTGTATATACATCACGTTATTTTAATTACACGTCTATAGTGTTGACTCGATAAACAGGGAGTCGATCATTAACTTGTCTCTCCTCTAAAAATTTTTTTACATTCCTTCAAGTTCCCAGTGGAACATAGGGTTTCAAGCCTCCAACTTGAAGTTTCTGTAGCAGTGTTCAGTTTTACAGGATGGGGTTGCTAGCCTCATGCCCAACCTTTCCTCTTCACTAGCTTTATTTCTGGCTTAGTGAGATAAAGGAGTGTGCCGGCCGGGGATCGAACCCCGGACCATGTGCATGGTCGGTGAGCGTTCTAACCGCTATGCCACCGACGCACTTCCCCTCTTAACTATTGTTACTTTTTAATGCTGTTTAACCCTGTCGCGCGCATCCTATTGTGTGTTTGTGTGCAAGTGAATGAATTGCTATGGCTGATGCTTTTTTTCAAGACTACTTAATTGATCAGAGTCAGTCATTTTAGATCTAGCTAAATTAAATCCCTAAGACCTGATAACCTCATTAATCCTGAACTACCAATTCGATCTGTGTCATTGACCTTATAGCTAATACATGATGGTATTTTTGGTAAATGACACTATTTTTTTTTAATAATTGGCTCTTTTGAATCTGCAAAAATAATCTCAGCCATTGCTATTAATACTATATCACTCATTGTATGTTATATCAAATAACTAACTTATCCAATATGGAATTAATGTCTCTACCTATCTATCTATTTCTGTCTCTGTTGAATTATGAACAGATAATATCTTGGGTGTGGTTCCTTATCGAAAATTCAATGATCATATAATTTCAATAGAATTAAGTGTGTTGATCAATAAATGATGGCCTTTTATCACTTTGATTCTCCACTCTACACCATCATAATAGAATCATCATTTGTATCGGCATTTACAACAGATCATGAATAGGCTACGATTTCAACGACCTGTAGGATTTGATATGCTGGATTTACACGATGCAAGTACATTTAGTAATTCGTTTGAAGCGTTTATACACATATTAAGAAAAAAAAAGATAATTGGCCAGCTTAAGAATTTTCGAGCTTGGGCCTGTCTTAATAAACATGAATGATATTATTAACAAAGCCATTGAAGTCTGGAAGTAATTGAACATCGCATTCTGTAGATAGAAGAAACAAAGCTACACAAAATAATGTGAATTAAAATCTATTTTTAGTATTCAAAGTTTCACTAGTTCATATACCACATGGTTACCGATTTGTCCCGGTTCTATGATAAGCCCCCTAATGGATAAGATTTTATTCTAATAAATCACAGTGTTATACAGTAATATTAACTGGTGACGTTTCGAGCACAAACTATTGTTCATAATCATATCATATCAACTTGATATGATATGATTATGAGCAATAGTTTGTGCTCGAAACGTCACCAGTTAATATTACTGTATAACACTGTGTGATTTATTAGAATAAAATCTTATCCATTATGGAGTTATACTCTACCACAGTGCCCAAGTTTTATACTTATATCTATGATAAGCCGTATTTTTTCCCAACAAACTTATTGATCCATATTTATTTGCTTAACGGTAAATGCACCTTTTTTTGAATGCTTTTCCAAGACAGTCATCTATTTTTAACTGTATACCAACGAACTTCGTGAAAACTGTTGATTATGTGAACATTCCTCTGTAATTCCCTTCGATGCCTCGTTCTCTACAGCTTGTTTAGCTGGTTCCATGATTTTCCTCACCATACGATCTACTCTATGTCATCCTTGAACACACCATTCAGCATTTTATGTTTGGATTATACTTGATTCTACCTGTCTAGCACATAATGTCACTCGATGGTCTCTTCAATGTTCATCCAGTCCATCTCTATTTCATCTACATATTTTTCAGGCGATTGATTGTTGATTGGTTTGTCACCAGAGGTCCTTATTACTTATCCTTTCTGGTTAGACATCTGATGTTTAACATCTGTTGATGAAAGTCTACAGCAGCTTGTTGGAAGTGCTTTTGGTGACCCATTCTCCAAGTCACTAAATCACATGGACGCATTGACTGACTTGACATTAGCGAAAATCTGGGGCTTGTTCTTATTGCTGAGTGCAATCGATTTCCACACTGTCTTTCCACTGTCTTCAGAGCAATAAAAGTCTGTCTTGCATTTCCGATCCTGCTTTCGACATTCTCATCTATGCAAGAATAACATTGTTTATTTTTTATTTATTTATTTATTGATTTACAGGAAAGTGCTCAGTTACACTGCATAATGATGCCGAACCATTGACAAATTATTTAGCTAGAGATGAAGCTTTCTACTACAAACTTATCTATGATCCTAATTTAAAAACTCTACAAGAAGATCGAGGTTCAATGAGAATTGGTTCAGATCATCAGTGTGAGATTCAGTCGCTACTGAAGTCAAGTAAGCGTTGTTAACACATGAGTCATATTATTACTAATTTAAAAAAAAGTATTTATTTAATGAACGGAAATATGCCCATTTTGCATTTCTACTGGATAATTCTTTACACTTATTATGCGATTCCTACTTCTGGTTTTCCTAACCTCCCCCCAGTCCTTTCCTTCTAGACTACACCTCAAGTTACGCAATTAATACATTTTTCAGAAGATAACTATCAGTATTTAATTGATTTTATGAGTTCTTTGTTCAGTATAAGTACTACTGTACAGCTCTTGACTCATCGAAAATTAAAATTAAATTTTCTTCTCTATTACATTTTTCATTTTATTCTTAAAGTTCAGCTTTATAATTAACAGTATTTCAGTTGACGTTATATCGCCAACTATACATGTGGTTTGGGTCCGATTGCCAGACGACGCACTCTTAAATCTCCTCTGATCAGCAGTAAATCCTGTACAAAGAAGAGTTTGTGTGTGAGGCTAGCAAATTGCACTGAATAGAATATAACACCGCTACATTTACTCAAAATCTCAAGATTGAAATCCTGCGTTCCATTCGGAAGGTGAAGAAATGAAGGAAAAAAAAGGATACTCACTGATAATATCGAAATATGACACTCTTATATGTTGCAACGTTGTTTTGTTTCTGTAGGGAAATCGGAACAAGAAATAATCTGTGACAATAAGCAGCAGATTGAAAGACTTGGTCAGTGTTCAATTCAAAGTGGCCCACCTTTATGTTACTGGTTGGATGCTGTATAGCCCGCTGTTCAAAGTCCAGCTTTTGATATGGATTCATTTTCGCTGGAACCATGGTGACTTCTCCATTTCAGTGCTGATCAATATCTCCTACCTTGAAGTGTGGTAGTCAGGCTTGTATATAGGGATCACTTAGTGAGCTATATTGACTCTGACTGATGCTCCTGCAGCTGCTATCATGCCGGAAAGGTCGTTTGGACAGCGGTTAAACTAAAAGTATTTACCATCATAGTGTAAGTCGTTTAAACTATGTTGTGGAGTCTGTGGGCAAAGTATTACTGCTGGCGAATAGGGATGTAACAGATGGCCAGTAAACCAGCGATGCTGCCTCTGCCTCTCCACGTTAGGGAGGGAAAGGTCGATCCCGAAAAAATCACACCCTAACCTACCTTGAAGTAGTCTGTAGCCGGTGGAAAGATCTTAATACGGACAACTCCAAAAACCGTTTCGAGCAAGCTCTATATGTGATCTATCTCAAGCAGTTGTCCCATTGGCTCTGCAGTCAATCAACCCTTATTCTGCATCTGTTTCATGTATTGCAAGGTGGTCCATGACATGTACAGTTGGGAAGTGATAACTGCTCACATATTTCCATGAGTACATAAAGCTTCCTGAGAGACTGTCTCAGTTCTGGCGAAGCTGATTTAGAAGATGAGCTGTAAATGAATTGTTGCTTCAAAAAGCTGGATAAAGTTTCTTTAATAATGGATAAGGCAGTGGTATTTCACAAAGCAGTGACTGATTCTGTAACCAGGAAGCAGAACTTCATTTGCAAACACACTGTTTAAGCTTTGTATTGGCATTATTTGCTGCTCAAATACTAGAATACAAGCAATATATTCTCTGAAATTGCAGTTATATTATTACTTCCAGTATTTTTAAAAACTTATTTTAAAATTCATAAAATAATATTTAATCTTTCCCTTTGTTTACTTTAGAGTCAGAGGATGTACGGTTAACGGAAGTACACGAAGAGTTAATGTGGTCACCTTCACATTCATTAACAGATCAACAAATCGATATGTTCTGTTTATTGGCCAAAGCTGTTGGTACATATGGTCGTGCACATGACGCTGCTTCATCAGCTAGACATCCACTTCTTTTAAGCTCAGCAGCGGCAGCTGGTCGTGATATCACTCGACAACAAGCTCATAATTTACTGCATGAAGCCAATTATGATTTAAATAAAGCAATCAATCTTCTATTACCAGGTTAGTAGTGGTATTTCTTCTTTTTTTTTCTTGATCGGTACTGGACACAGAGTCATGTTTCCCTAGTTGGTTGGTGATCACCACCGATTCAAATATCTATTCATTTGGATTACTAGAAATTTTATAGGAATATTTGTTATTTTTAAATGGTTTATGCCTTTTTGCCTCCTCCTCCTCCTCCGCCTAATATAGTCTACCTTGTTTTCGTGACCTGAAGCAAAGTTCATCAATACTTTTTCTATATATATGCTATATATGTGTACGCTTGTCTGAAACATACATACATACATACATATATAAACACACACACAAATGCACATAAGCCTTCATATCTTGATATGCGTTTGTGTGTATTTGTGTGGGTGGGTAATGACAAAGAAAAATCAATATCGTTTAGGTGTCTAGCCTCCTGTGGAGAAATATTCTCTCTATGCTTTAGTTATACCAGTAGCAGAAGGTAGTAGTTGTAGTAGTCGGGTAAAAAGATACTCACACTGAAGTCGTTAATAAACAAAAAAAATTACTAATTTCTGAGCTGTGTAAACCTACGCGAGAGGTCGTAGAATTGATAAATGATAGCTCTTAGTGTTATTGTATTCTTCCTACAGTTAGTAGAGACTTTTGTGTAAATGTTCTACTAGATCGTCTCTTCTACTGTTTTCAAAATATTCCATTAGTCATAGAAAAGAAAAGGTGTTCAGTAAAGAGTTACTCTTTTCGGCGATATCATTCTCAAGCTGTACAAACCGCAAATTTATAGTAATTTTTCTGGGCAACAAAAGGAATATTTCCAAAGATGTGTTAATGCAATTGTTAATTTCTGACAACAAATTACGTAATTTAGAAGGCGTTAATTCCATTAGTGATTACATTAAGAATTTTTGTTACCTTAAGGGATAGTGTCACAAGTCAACATCATATAATGATAAATATTCAAGTGAGGAAGCTTCTCAGCAGTAGGCATTCTAAGAGGTTTCTATTGACTTATCTGAGTAGGGATGGTTTAGTTGCCTTTCCAGTCTTCATCTTCAGCACAGACCTCAATACAACTTCATATTGAGAAGTTGTCTAGAAAGGCAATGAAAGCTTCACAACTAAGCCATTCAGGTCAGAGAATACAACTACATCAGTGTTTATCCACCTGAGGTACAAAATCTTCTCCATCATATCATTCTAAAATTTCTCACTTATCAGTCCAGTCATCTTTAAATTGATTTATTCATAGATGTTAACTCCTGTCAGTTCCACAATTGACAACTTATTTGATTAATAGATGCATGTCTGCGTTCTATCTCCCGTGTGAAGTGGCATAATAAGGTGAGCAATATTGAAGTTAGGCGTTGAGTGCTAGGTAAGAAGGGGAAAACAGTCGACGAGGCTGAAGTTACGTCGATTAAGATAGATGGTTAGGACATGTGTTACGCATGCCTAGTCATCACCTTCCTCGACGGACAATGTTAGCTGACAAAGGGTCAGGCTGGAAAAGAGCTAGTGGTGGTCAAACGAAAACATGGCACCAGTCAATGAAATCCACAACAGTTAGTCTAGTCTACGTAGGAAGGTGTAGACTTCTGTCTGGTTGGGGTCCTCGGGATGACGGTAAACACCAATGGTTGGAAACAATTGGTGACATGGCTCAAAATCGTTCTCAATGGCTGACTGGCGCAGATGCATCCACTCCTTGTGACTTATGATTTCCAATTAAACTGTTTTGTTCTTCGTTATTACTATTCCTTTGTCTCACACCTCTGTTTACTGTCTATATTATGCACTTCTCCTACTTTCTTCTCTTACTTTGTGTGCTACATGGAGTGTGGCGATTTGAACTGCCGCACATTTGTGCAAAGTTCTATGTCGAAAACAGACAGCCAGACAGAATAGATGCATTCTGTGTCTGACTGACTAACTGACTGAGTTTCAGCGTAGAACTTAACACAGAAGCGCAGCATATCAAGTTGGCACACTTAATTATAACACACAGAGGCAGAAAAAAGCAACAAAGACTCAAAAGAACTTTAATGATGACCAGAAATGTACGAAAGAAAGAATCGTAACGTGCGAAAGCCTAAGGGTTAACTGTGGATATAGGAGGTTACAAAGAGTGAATGCATCTACCCCCCCCCCCCCCTTGAGAATGAGTTTGAACCATATCACCAATAAACAAGAAGTCTGCACCTATTTTATGTGGCTGGGTTACTTCGAATATGTTGATACATTTTTTTTCTGTTCTAAAGGATAAGTCTTCTGTATCACCTTGTGTGTTTAATGAATACATCTCAATTTTGATTTTATCCATAACTGAGTGTTTTATCCCACCTACATGAGATTCACAACAGTTTTAACTGTCTTTATTGTAGATCTTACTATCGGTTCCTTAGTTCAGCTGTTCTTTCCCTCAGTTTTCATCGATCGTACCACCTAAAGTGAATCTTATTGAAGTAGGGGCAGAGGGGGGGGGGGGTAACACATTGGAATTCATAAAGTCACTTTGCACCCCGAAGTCCTTTTTAGCATCAGGTCGTTTTGTGCTTTGATTTTGAGGTCAATTAACAGGATTAGACCTTGCCTATACCAGACTATGAGACACACTTATTGTCTGTGTGTAGCCAGATGATACTACTTAGTTACCCAGAATGAACTAATTGGGCGAGAACTCGAACTTAGCACCCATTCTCTGGAGACCATGCGCTTAAACCAATGAGTCACATTTCCACAGAAAGGCTCTGTGTATTCTGCATCTGGTGCTTTAGGCGATATATTCATGTTGATTGGTTACTAACTAGTGTCATGCGTCCAGTCCCTTGTTTACTGCAGATTGAATTCTATTAGTCGAGTTGGCAATGTGATTCATCACCAGCGGGTACACTCGAAATGGTTGTTACTAGATGGTTTAAGGTAGTCGTCAGGATGCCTTGGATCTGACGAGTGCCAACAGGCACGAAACCTTGGTTCAAGGCTTCATGCCGAATACCTCCAATTATCCAATAGCAATTCTGAGCCATTATAGGATTTCGTCATGAGCTGACGTTGGTTAGAGAACCATTGGGAAATCTAGGAGTACTGGACGGCTGTCTCGTCCCAGTTTAGAACTCTTCATCGGTTCAAACCGCGATGGGTGCAAGTAAGAACTTCGATTCTGCTCGTGTGGCAAATTCTGCTTGTAAATAGATCAGAGTGACCGACTACTTCACCGTGTTTACAACGTAGAATTTTGCACAAAAGTGGAGTAGTTCAATTTGACGCACTGCATATAGCACACAATGGTAGAGAAAAAGGAAATAAGAGATTCAGGAGAACTATAATGAGCAGAAATGTACGGGAGATAGGATAATTACACAGTGAGACTGGATGGCCAAATACAACTAGGGTTCTGCATTTGTTTATAGCAACGCTTTATTCATTTAGTGTATAAATTTTAATGTCTTTTTTTAATATTTATTAATTTCTTTAGACGGTCAACCTGTTATATATCGTGACCAACTGGAAGATTGGTCTGCTAATGAAGCCCATATATTTGAAGAAGCATTGGATAAATACTCTAAAGCCTTCTCAGATATCCAATCAGAATGTTTACAATGGAAAACGCATAAATCAATTGTTGAACTGTATTACTTTTGGAAAACAACAGATCGTTATGTTAGACAACGTCGTACTAAACTAGCCGCTCAAGAGCATAAATTAAAACAGGTTTATATTCCAAATTATAGTAAACCGAATCCAGCTGTTTTATATCATGGTACAGATAAAGTTAGTCGTCCCTGTGAAGGATGTGGAAGTAAGTTATTTGTATTACTTTACATCGTTTGCTTAAATTGCATCATGAGTTCAATGGTTGTGCACTCACCAACTAACTACTCAGGAGATCTGGGTTCGATTCCCGGCCGACGCACTGCTAAACCTCTCCTGATTCTCTAGGCTTCAAAAGCTCTTAAAGTCCTGTGTTCCACTCGGAACTCAAAGTAGACAATGCTGAACTCCTCGCCAAGACCGATGATATTACTCAGTAGGCCAGGCTGAAGTAGGTGGGGCAGGACTCGAACTTCTCATCCATTGTCTGGAAGCCGTATGTTTATGGCAATTAGACTCCACATCTCCTCATTCAAAGTAGGAATAAACCTTTATTTCTAATAGGCTAACTTAAACTATTGCTAGTGTCAGTGTGTTGTTTTACTGGGTATACTTTAAAATTATAACTAACCAGTCAACCCGTCTTTTTGTAGACTAGCTTAACCACAATAACAGCTTCTGTTGTATGTTTTTTTACCATCATGTGTAATTACAGACTGGATCGATAGTCTGTCAGCCAGTCAGAATTAAAATTATACAAATATCGATTGCCTAAACAATAAGCAGATAACCAACCAATCAGATTTCACCACGTTGATTACCACTCGCTAATCGGCCCAGTCAGTGTTTGTAGCATATAATTAGTCCATGATGCTTTTTTTTCGTATGACTAGTGTAATTATGTATTTTTGTAATTACAGTACTACTCACTCTCGCTTGTTTGGAAATACACCTTTCCAGTATTGTTGAGTGAGTCTTTTTGAAATTACCAGTATTCTAGGCGGGGGAAATCTAGTGGGAAATTATCAAGCATGCATTATGACTATTATTGAACTTATTGGTGCGAAGATTTATCCAGCGGAACACTACGCACCTCATATTAGGTTGTAGTTTACTACCGTTGTCTGTTGACTGACCCCTTAGCGTTTTATACTAAACTATAGTGCACAGCAGTCTTGCCTCACACTTTGTTTAATGACTGACTGGATGTCAAATATTGAATAGTACTGTAGATTTATTAGCTATATTGTTACTTTTTTGCAGTGCTATTGGCATTTCTCAGCTTCCCTAATCACCATATTGCATTATTGGGCGTTACCGAAATTCTCTACAACCCATTCAAATTATGCATTTATCTTCATATAGAGAATAGTGAAAGCATTAACAGGGCTTCCTTAAAATAGCAAAAAATGCACAACTGTGATGACTCATTTCAATGTTCACACTTCCCTTGGGTTCTGAGTGGAACATAAATCTTCAGAAGCGAATCTCCAGTTCACTTTATTCTCTGTAGTGTGTTTTAGACGGCTTTTATTATGTCTTCACGCCATCTCCCTGACAAATCGTTCTGCATTCAGGTTCCACTTGAGGTTCTGACAATCAATGGTCTCCCTGGCGTATGTCCAGTCCATTGCCACTTTCTTCTACGTATTTCTCGGTCGATAGGTTCCTGATTGATTAGTTACGAGTTTCTTTTTGGTCATTTAATATTCAGTACTCAGCTGTTGGGGAAAGTCCGCATTTTCTTGGAAATCCTTTATGTGACACGTGCATTAAGTCTTTGAACCATATAGAATTACTGACTTAACAATAGTGTTGAAAATCCAAATCTTGTTCCGTAATCTGAGTGCAGTAGCAAAAGCTTAACTGTGTCACTGGTGGCATGCTTTTCTTACGATTAGACATTAAGGTTTGGAGAATAGATGGTAGTAGAATGTTTACTCAATTTCTCATCCTGAAGTTTGTCTTTTGAATCAACAATGCATGTTTGGTTTATTTTCATTATTTATTGTTCCCTTGGGTTCCTAGTGGAACATAGGGCTTCAACTGCACGTCTCCACTTGCTTCTGTCTTCTGCTGTACTTTTCACCTGCATCCGTGTTAGTCCACACTGTTAGTCCGACTCCTCTTCACACGATCTCCTCCATGTCACCCTTGGACGTCCCACTCGCCGCTTCCCTTTCGGGTTCCACTCGAGCTATGGCCTGATGCGCGATGTCATCCAACGGCCTCCTCAGCGAGTGTCCAATCCATCTCCACTTTCTTCTGCATATTTGTTGGGCGATTGGTTCTTGTCTTGTTTGTTCCCATAGTTTCTTGTTGTTGATTCTTTCCGGCCATCTGATCTTCAGTATAGAGTGAAGACAGTTGTTGATAAAGGTTTGCAACATGTTGGAAATATTATATGTGGTTAAGAACATTTAAACTCTAAGGTGATTGATTGAAACATCAAGCAATCTGATGTGTTTCAATATGTGTGCTACCTCGAAAGTTAAGCACTAAGATTTGATCCAAATTTCACTTGTCGTATGGTATTTTTAAGTTCGCTCATAATTTGATTGTCTTAGAATCGTGGATCGTTCAGTAATTTATCCATTTCTTTATAGTCCAGCTGAAATCTTATCCCGTATTGTTTGGGAAGTAAATCACCCAACTTTTTATCATGCAAATAATAATAATAATAATGCCAATTCAGACACACTGGGTACAATGTTTCTTTATTTATTCAATAAACTATAACAGCTTAGTTAATGTAAGCATGTTAATGCTAGTTGGGTTAAGTGAGTATAGGTCAGATGGGACTTCTCTGTATTCCCCTTCTACACCGATGTGTTCAGAATAGTGAACCCTGTTTTGTGTTCTGTTATACTTTGCTTTTGAAGATCACTCTACTGTCTTTTGTATCAAAATTGATTTTTAAAGAGAAACATACTTTTTTCCTCATCATTTTTTAAAGCTGCTAATTCTCATCAATGGTATATATGGGGTACATCTAACAATAATTCTCGTTTATGTGCTGGTTGTTGGTCATACTGGAAACGTTATGGTGGACTGAAAACTATTGACTCTAAAGGTAACTTGTTTATCATTATTATTAATATTATTATCATTCTGTTAAATGACGTTATGAACCGTAGTTGGTTTTCTCGTTATTACCTAACTAACAATAACGACAACAATTATTATTCTTTCTTCACGGAATATCGACTTGTTTGTTTCTTTCTATTACTGTTTTCGAAACCACGTGATACAGGAGGTTTACAGTCACATGACATGCTACTACTGATGGTGGTAACACTCTAATCATTTTCAACTGTGTGGTTGACAAGTTCTTTGTCTTTATACCATTCACATATACTATGCTTGAGCTTACTGCATCTCTCTGTGTACTGCCAGTGTGTTGGCTGTCATCATTTTCTCAGTCTCGTATTTGCTTTCTCCCTTTGAGAAGGATAGGGTGTTCTGTTTATTTTTACAATAAGCCTAGTGGGGATAACTATTTCATAGAATTTTGCTACATTCATGCAAACCATGGAAAACTAGAGACTGAAAATCACTGTAATGTACGTCTTTCAACCTGAATACAAAAAGGATAAATACAGTGTATTTTGTTCCTACTGAAGGACTCGTGTGCTTTTGGAAGTGTGTGGGCGGTTGTTACTTCCCGGCTGCCCAAACCGTGGAAGTTGATTGATTCTTTGGGTACCTGAAACAGAAAGAGGGTTAGTGTTGTGTGACCGCAGAGTCCAGGGGACAACTGCTCGAGGCCGGTCACACACGACCTGGTTTCTGGGATTGGTTCCGTATTAGTAAACTTACCGCCGGTTACGGTCCACTGTAAGGTAAGTCGGGATGTACAATTTTTGGGGTCGACCTTTTCTAACCCCTCTCTTCGGAGTGGAGAGACAACATATCTGGCATGCTGGTCATCTGAGTGAAACACCTCACTGCTGTTACACCCATGTTCCCCATCTGTACGACTTCGCCCTCAGACCCCCAGCATAGTGTAGGAAAGATTCTTACACAATGCGGGTAACTGCTTTTAGTCTAATCGCTATCCTTACAACCTTCCTGGCATGGTAGGACCTGCAGGAACATAAGTTCCAGCCAGTGTAGCTTGTTGGGTCATCGCGATGTGCAGGCCCGACCACCACATCAAGGTAGCAGCTATCGGTCGCATAGTTTATATTATAATTCCATTATATTATGCTGTTCCTTTGTCTCACTCGCCTCAGTAGAGATCATCTTAAAATTGGCTACTTGTAATTGGGGGAATCCATCAATTTATACTTCTTTGTCTTGATGTTATTACGTCATTATGAACCGCTTGGACCTCCCAACAAGTCAGAGAAATATTATTATTGATTCTAAATGGAACACTGGCTCCACAATTGTCCATAAGCTTTCATTTCTATCTCTCACTGTTGGACCCACTTTCAACTTGTTGCTTTCTATCTGGGTTCCACTAGAGGTCTTTTACATGACGCCTGATGTCACTCATCGGTCTTCTCAGTGTATGTCCAACACAATCTCCTTTTCTTTCTGCATATTTTTTGGGTAATAGACTGACTCGTGATTGGTCCACTTCCTACCAGAGTTCCGTGTTGCTTATCCTTTCTGGTAGGCTATCTGATCTTTAGTGCAGAAGCAGCCTAGGGGACAGCTATTGATGAAAGTCTACACCAGCCAAAGCAAAGCACTAAATAACTTGACATAAGTGTTGAAAAGCTGGATCTTGTCCCTAATGTTGAGTGTAACAGATTTCTACACTAATGAAGGTTTGTCTTACTTTCCCGATCTTGGCGGGCTTTAATATTCTCATCTATGCTGTCTAGATAAGTGAAAGAGATGACTTCTCTTACATTTCTCCCGTTGACGATGATTGACGCTTGTTGTTGTCGTTGTCGTCGTCGTTGTTTAGGTGTCTTCATCATCTGTCTTCTCTATGTGCATTTAAATATCTGTCTCTTTGCTGACTTATTGATGTCCGCTTGTAGATCTTCGAGTTTGTATGAAATCCAGATCGTCTAGTGTTCTTGCATTGATCCAAACAGCGGGCAATGAGGAAACAGGCATGAAATAGACTCACACAAAAAACTTGGAGGATCTGGACTTCGCCGATGATATATGTCTGATTTCCCACAAACTGGAAGATATGCAAGCGAAAAGCAACAAGTTGGCAGAAGAAGCATCCGGAGAAGATAGGACTTCAGGTGAACACAGAGAAGACAGAGGTGATGAAGATTCCTGGGCAACACCAACAGCAGCAACAACAACAACAGACAGCAATCCGCATAAATGGGAGGAACCTGAAAGAAACAACTTCCTTTACCCACCTGGGAAGCATCGTTTCAACTAAAGGCGGGACTGACGAGGATATCAAAGTGAGGATCGGAAAAGCAAGACAAGCTTTCACTACTCTCAAGTCTGTGTGGAGGTCAACAGCACTCAGAATCAAAAATAACATCCGGATTTTCAACTCCAGTGTGAAGTCAGTGCTACTCACTATACGGATCAGAGACTTGGTGCGTCATAAAGAGCATCTCAAACAAACTACAGACCTTCATCAACAGCTGTCTTCGCTCAATACTCAAGATCAGATGGCCGGCCAGAAAAGATCAGCAATAGTGAGGGATCTCTGGGAGCGAACCAACCCAGCAGGAACCGATTGTGAAACAAATAGGCAGGATGAAGTGGAGGTGGATTGGCCATACTCTGAGGAAACCATCAAGTCACATCACTAGACAAGCCATTGCTCGAGTGGAACCCGATCGACTTGGAAGCGGCGAGTTGGTCGTCAGTGCAAGGGTGACTTGGAGGAGGTCATGTGAAGAGGAGATGAAAACGTGTGAGCAGACTTGGAGTCAGGTGAAAACTGTAGCGGAGAACCGAACGCAATGGAGACACACGGCTGAAGCCCTATGTTCCTCTAGGAATTAAAGGAAACAATAATAATAATATAATAATAGTAATAATACTCGTCTACTCAAAGGAATATTGTGCATGTTGAATTCCGTACCAATCGGGTTTTTTCCATGTTTGCTTCTTTTACTCAAAGTGTGAATATCCAGTGTGTCTATATAAGATATTCTAACTGGCTAAAGAAGAGACGCCGTTACAAGTTTTCAGTCACACTACTGTCTTTATCCTCTTGGTGGCCTGATAAACATCTGTTGCCTAGGTAACATAGATGTTAAGCGTAGATTACTGTACGATGAACGCAAATTAACAGTTCAGTTGCGAGCACATGTATCGATTAAAGTACTTGTACATATTTCTATGCATTATGAATGACTACCTTCATCTGCGCTATCCATTGAGAACGATTTTCAGCCATATCACCAATTGTTTCCATCCATTGGTTTTTACGGTTCCGAGGAACCCAACCAGTCAGGATGGATACACCTTCCTGCGTGACTGACTGATGAAGCCATTTGGTTTTGGTTTGACCGCTGCTAGCTCTTTTCCAGCCTGACCCTATGTCAGCTAACATTGTCCGTCGAGGAAGGCGATGACTAGGCATACATAACACACTTGTTCGTCTGTGCTTCAGTGGTAGAATGCCTGTCAACCATACACGTCTTTCGAGTTCTACTCCCGGCTAACTCACTCCTGTTAAATATCCTAATGTAAATTGTTTGACAATTTGGTCATTTTTAGATCCTTATTCCTTTCTAGTGATAGAGTGTATGTAAATTTTTTGGAGTATTTTCTTGTGCGTCTGAATCATGAAAACAGTAATTTGAGGTCTTTCGACATATTGTTAGGTGTTGGGTTCATGTGTTCTATAAGAAACCTTATAATGTCTTGACATAGTGGCTGTAACAGTGAATTATTCCGGTCTAGGGATATTCTCAAATTCCTACACTTAAAGATATCAGGATGAGTTAGAGTATACATAACTAACTTTTTAGTTAGACCGGGTTGTTCTTACTTTGTTGTCGATGATATTCTTTGGGAAGCTATAAAGGCAGGTGGTTGTGCTCAGCTGTGGTAGAGTTCACCTGCTATCTCACAAAAATCCGTTAAACCGTCAGTATGCAGTTTCAGGGCTGAGAGGAACAGGTGCATGCATTCACTCACTGCTAAAATCAGTCGTGTTTACGGCGCTTTAGTGTGTCTTATCATTGTCTACGTTTGTGATACCTGTCCTCCCTAAGATGTGGATATGCGACAACTGAACATGTTTTGAGTATCGATGTCTTTGTAGGACTGCTGACATCCAGCAGTGATATTTAATGTAGTTAATTCTGAATTCCAACCGCGTGTTTGAACTAAATGCAATTTTTCGCCTCACAAAAATTAGTAGGACATAGGATTCTGTAGCTTCTACATATATATATATATATATATATATATATATATTGCGGATACCATCATACCGTTTTCCATACTATTCGCCGCTCTCTAACCCTGTAAATACTGCGGGGATGGAAAGCAGTGATTACTCGATGAAGTGGCACTGTACTACAACACAAATTTCCTCAATGGAGTCTGAGAAATCGAGACACAATGGCTAGAAACGTTTTCAGGTACGGCACAATATCTAAATCAACAGTCATCATACTGTTGTTTCCTTGTTTCTTCCAGTGCCGAAAACAATATGAGGTAGTTTACACTCCTATATATATGCTCTTTATGAGTCTATTTCATTCGATGGTGCTCTTTTGTGTATTACTTATTGTATTCTAACGCTCTTCTTGGAGGTGACTACCTACACTGAACCACGAAACTCTTCATACAGTATAGAGGGAAGACATTTTAATTCCCTGGTATATATTACTCATATCTGTCAATATATACACTACTACCCGTATGTATATATAATGATGATAAAATCAATTTGCTGGAGAGTTATTCGTCATATTTCAACTTTTGTATCAGGCTCTCTCTCTGTTCCGCTTCCTCTAGTATGCAATTAACTGGTTACATATTCAGGCTAGACTAGACTTTATACGCGTTGTTCATCATCACTACTAAAAACATAACCGATCGATCGATACACATTATAGCAAAATTTATTTGACATCTGTGGCCAGATTTGTGTCAAATTCTCAAAATCAATAATTTTGTTTGTATGTATGTATACACTATATATATATATACATATATATATATATTGATTTTTTGTAATAAACGGCATATATGCTATTCCATTTTATTCATGTATGTTTTCATATATAGTTGCACATTCTGCCGATGAACTTACAGTTATTACTATTACTATTATTATTATTGTTATTCATATATTGTGAAAAGGATAGATAGAGTGATCACTATTTAACTGAAAAGCATTCGATCGATGTTATTATCTTCACACGCACACACATACTATATGTGCATTTTTTTCAGTTAGGAATTTATTAATTTTGGGAATGATCATTGTGTTTCTGATGCTCTTTGAATGTGCATGTGTGTGTGTCAGGTATTAGATCCTGTAGGAGCATGCAAACTGGAATCGAATGTTTTCTGAGAGAAAGATTACTTCATAGACGCTTCACATAGCTATCGGTAATCAAAATAGTATCAATATGGCATTCGTTTCTTTACAATCTTAGTTACGGTGTGTTCGAGCTGACATTTTCTGTATCCAGTGATAAGCAACAGATATTAACACTGATTTGATGATATGAGATGGTTGGAGGCAATCGACAGGAAGCCTTGGATCTAGGTTTCGTGCTAGTTGGCACCGTGATGGCAAGCTACCTAGAATGGTGGCCACATTACAAACCTGACTGATAATTTTGATTTTTTTTTCATAATAGCTTGATTCTACACCGTATTTTTGGTACAAGTATGGAATTTTCAGCATGTGATATCGGTAGCCCAAATTTTGTAGGCCGACCATAGATATCAGGTGTGCGTCGGCAGGAGATCGAACCCCGGACCATATGCATGGTCGACGAGAGTCCTAACCACTGTGCCACCGACGCACAACTCAAACTATTGTGCTATTTCAATAAATCAACTGCTGACTGAGTTTCAATGTAGAACTTTGCACAGAAATGCAACATTTCAAGGTTGCTATACTGCACATACCACAAACACACACACAAAGGTAGCGAATCAAAGGAACTTTAATAAGCGAAAATGTTCGGGAGGAAAGAATTCGAAAATCACGAGGATTTAATGAATATTAGAGGTCAAAAAGAGGGAATACCTTTGTGTTATTGAGAAGGATTCTTAGCTATATCACCAGCAGTCTCCAGTTGTTGGGTCTTAGCATCTCCAATGATCTCAACCAGGTGGTCTACACACCTACCTACCTATGTGTGTCTGACTCAAACCAACTGTCAAATAATTCATGGACTTATCCCAAGTTTTCGTTTGCCCCCCCCCCCCTTTAAGTCATTTCCATTCTAATCCTATGCCAGCTAAGATTATTCATCAAGGAAGGTGGTGGTGGCTCTATACGCGTAATGGTTGCCCTATACATCTGAATCAATGTAGGTTTACAACCTCCCCAACTTACCCTCCTTACTGAACACTCTGTACCCTAACCTCAATATTGCTGACCATAATGTCGGTCGGTCGGTTTTCACCATAGAACTTTGCACATATGTGCGGCAGTTCAAGTCGCCACAATCCATGTAGCACGCAAAGCAAGAGAAGAAAGTAGAAGAAATGCATAATATAAACAGTAAACAGAGGTGTGAGACAAAGGAATAGTAATAACGGAGAACAAAACAGTTTACTTGGAAATCATAAGTCACAAGGAGTGGATGCATCTGCGCCAGTCATTGAGGACGATTTTGAGCCATGTCACCAATTGTTTCCGACCATTGGTTTTTACCATCCCGAGGACCCCAACCAGGAAGTCTACATCTTCCTACGTGGCTTAGACTAACTGTTGTGGATTTCATTGACTGGTGCCATGTTTTGGTTTGACCGCCGCTAGCGCTTTTCCAGCCTGACCCTATATCAGCTAACATTTTCTTTCGAGGAAGGCGATGACTAGGCATACGTAATACATGTCCTAACCATCTCAGTTGATGTAATTTCACAGCCTCGTCGATTGATTTCCCCGCCTTACCTAGTACTCGACCGATGCCTAACCTCAATATTGCTCACCTTATTATACCACTTCACACGGGAGATAGAACGCATGCATCTATGATCAAAGACAGCTAATGTTTTCATGTCTTCCACTTTCAATGACCAGTTCTCACTCGTAGCAATAAAGGAGGACGGAGCGGACTGTTGAGCAGTACACACGCCCTTTGGTCGATAGTCGGATATCGCGTCTACACCAGAAACGGCGTAAACTGGCATATGCGAACCTAGCCCTCTGTATTCGTGACCATAATGTACTACTTATCAAGGGAAGTAGAAGGCAAACGCCTGTCTGTAGTCAAGGCTAGCTAGCTTCTTTATATCTCCCACTTTCAATGGCCATATCTCCATAGTCATGAAGGAGGACAAAATGAACTGCTGCTCAGTAACAAATCAATTACAATAAGTGTGTTATACCCCAGTGATCAGTGAATGCTACCCTTATTGTTACATACACCCTTATGCCTTAGCTAACTTATAAAAGTTTTAAAAGTGGGATTACTTAATCCCGGGTATCAATGAGTAACATACTTTCAGGGATGTTCCATCTGATGTTCATGGTGTCAACTTTACTACTGTAAGAAATTACTTCCTAACTAGTATAAAACAGCCCAATTCAACTCTGACCATTAATTCTAATCGGAAAGTCGTTTTTAATGTTCATCCAACCGTGTAACTGATTAACACACACTTTTGCATCGGTGGTGTAGTTGGCCCTGGCTGGATTCCCGGCCGATGCACTCCTAGACGTTGCTCAGCCGCTAGTAAGCCCGGTAAAGAGGGGAGGTTGGGTGTGAGGCTAGCAACAACCTCACCTCGTACTATACACCAATGCCACTACTGAAACTTCACAGCCCTATATCTAAGTTGGAACGCAAAGGAATGGAAAAACAGGAAATTCTAGCTTGTCACTAACTAATGCACACTTTTGCTAACTACATATTTAACCTTTCTTAGTGGTATATATATCACTTTTGTATAGCAATTTTTTCTCATCTTTTAGATGTCAAGATTTTATCTGATTCTTGTAAATAAGTGATTTCAATTTAAATAATTAAAAAAAATTGAAATTCTAATCATTCTCTTTTCTTTCTTTTCATAGAACGTCCTGTTACAACTCTACGTGCTCATCAAACGAACAGTACAATTCCAGTTGACACAGATATAAAATCAGGTGGGCCAATCAATATAACTGGTACAGTGAATCATCAGTTCAAATCACATTCTATTGGATTACCAAGTGGAGTGAATGATGTAAGCTCCTTTGCTTCTTCTACTGCCAAACACACTTGTGTTTGCTTTTTATCATATCATTCCTATTCTACGATTTATATCTTCTGTCACATTCTAAATAATATTTGGATGGTTATAGTTGTGCATATTGTGTTGAACCTTTTATGTTTTGCGAAAAGTTTAATGCCAACACATCGCCTTCCTCCTCGAGTTAATATGAGCTGACATAGGATTAGGCTGGAGAAGACTTGGGGGCGGGGAGTTCACATAAAAACGTGACATCCATCCATAAGAGCTTTGATTGTTGGTTCTATTCACATAGGAGGAGGTGTCCACTGCCTGACTGGGATCCTTTAGATGTTAAGTGGTGCAGTTGCATTCACCCTTTGTGATCTCCTGTTTACCATTAATGTCTCATGTATTTATTCATTCTCACGAACAGTTCCTCTCATTAAAGTTGTTTTGGATTTTTTTCCCTACCTTTGTGTTGTTGTATGCTACATGGAATGTGGCAACTTGAACTGTTTCACTTTTCTGCAAAGTTTTGTGTAGAAAATTCACTCACTCAGTTCTAAAGACTGAATATACTACTGCTGTTCTAATAAGTTGATTAAAGAAATCTTGGAATTAGTAGTTGAAAGTCGACTTCATGTATACTCAACTGATTGACGATTGTGACACTATTTTGAATATGATGTGATCTGATCAGGGTGAATACGAAAACATTTGTTGATTTAGCGTGATCACCTGCATAACTAATCGCAGATGAAAATACGCGGGTATTTAGAAGTGCTTCTAGGTGAAGACGCTGACAAAATGCAGAATCTTCTGAACACGTTGAGCTGCAATCTGCGAATGTTCGGCATGCGATTCGCTCCCGCCAAATGTAAGATGATCAGGCTACAGGACTGAACTGCACTGACTCCTAGCTTAGAAATAGGGAGTGAAGTGGTATAGCGTTTTTACCACTTCACTTATTTGGGAAGTTGCATCAGCCAACGCCAGCTGGTTGGTCTCTGATGAAATCTCAGCACGGATACAGAAGGCTCGTTTCGCATATACCAGTTTACGCTGTCTCTGGCGTAGATGTGATATCCGACTATCGACCAAAGGGCATGTGTACTGCTCAACAGTCCGCTCCGTCCTCCTTTATTGCTGCTAGTGAGAACGGGTCATTGAAAGTGGAAGACATGAAAAGACTAGCTGTCTTTGATCATAGGTGCCTGCGCTCTATCTCCCGTGTGAAGTGGTGTAATAGGGTGACCAATACTGAAGTTAGGCGTCCAGGTTTAGATAGGGAGGGAAGTCAATCGATGAGTGCGTGAAGTTACATCGATTGAGAGAAATGGTTAGGACATGCGTTACGCATGCATGTTTAGATATCGTCTTGCTCGACGCATAATAATAGCTGACATAGGGTCAGGTTGGAAAACAGCAAGTCAATGGTGGTCAAACCAAAACCAACATGGCTTCATCAGTCAATGAAATCTACAACAGTTAGTTTAAGCCAGCCAGTCACGCAGGAAGGTGTAAACTTCCTGACTGGTTGGGGTCCTCAGGATGATAAACACCAATGGCTGGAAACAATTAGTGATATGGCTCAAAGTCGTTCTCAGTGACTGGCACAGATGCATCCACTCCTTGTGACTTATAATACCCAATAAAACTATATTGTTTTTCGATATTACTATTCTTTTCACCTCATATATCTGTTTACTGTCTTTATTTTGCGTTTGTTTTTACTTTCTTCTCTTGCTTTGTGTGCTACATGGAGTGTGGCGACTCGAACTGCTGCACATCGGTGCAAAGTTCTATGTTGAAACCAGTCAGTCAGTCAATTTAGAATTGTGTACCTATGGTTAACTTGTTTATTTTGAGTTTAAGGGATCAGTGATCTATCGCTTTCTTTATTATTGGTGCATTTGTATTATCTGAACCATTGAAAACAGGAGTACTGGACAGCTGCTGTTTCATCCTAGTTGCATCGAATCCCAGTGGGTGCGCACTGCCGATGATTCCCAAACTAGGATGAAACAGCAGCTGTCCAGTACTCCCTGGTTTTCAATGGTTCTCTAACTAATATCAATCCGTGATCAACTCACTAAAACATAACTAACCCTTACAAACCAGACTATAGAAAATTAATCTGATGCTCGGTAGTGACTTGCTATAGGATGGAGTTTCCTGGAGTTATAGTGAGAAGTTGTGACCAGTGAGGTCCAATTAGAAGTCACGTGTGTGGATGGATGTCCCACCAACGACAATGGTTGGGGTTGCGCTAAATCACGAATTGGTAGAAGTTAGAATTCATGAGTTGGCCATTGAATCGGGTCCCAGTGGCTGAATGGTATACGAGCTTGCCTTGTAACCGGAAGGTCCTGGGTTCGAATCCCAGTGGGTGCATCTTTATGAACTAGTTTTAGTTGTTCCTACTACTAGGACATTCAGGTAACTTCGATTGCCCCCCTAGTCTCACGGAGCTTACAATCTAGATAATAATTTAGCAATCTAAATGTTAACAGTTTCCCTACACTCAGGATTGAATAAATCCATAAAGTCAATAGCCTATAATTACATCGCGATTCGATGTTAATTTCTAACGTTCGCTGTTTTTAGTGAACTGGTTAGGTTGAAAGTACTCGGTCAGGTACCATCAACGTTTGATACACGTTGTTGTGTTGCATTTGATTTCTTATTCACGATTTCTAGTCAGTTAAGCATGTATCTTGTTTTAACGACACTAATCGAATTATTCTACTTAAAAAAAATTGTTCTGCTATGTGTGTTCTTGATCTGACCGGAATGTATTGCTACATTTCGCGTTGGGTATAGTCATTATTATTATTATTCTCTGGGGTTCTCTCTGTAGAATAAAGGGCTTCAACAGCCCACCTGCATTTCACTTTGTTCTCTGCCTTCTCTTTTTTACCTGGCTCCATATCTGCCTATAAGACTTCATCTACTCCTTACACCCAACTCGTCGTTCATCATTTGTATTCCATTCGGGGACCTAGTAGCATGTGATGTCACTCAGCGTGTATGACCTCATCTACTCATCTCCATTTTCTTTTGTATATTTTTTGTGCAATAGGGAGCTGGTTGATTTGTTGACAGAATTCATTGTTACAAATCCTTTTTAACCATACGATCTTCAGTTATCGGGTGAAGGTGGCTGTTGGTTGATGTGAATCTACAGTCGCCTGTTGGAAATGCTTTCCGTGATGTGTACACACCCCAAGTCTTTGAAGCATTGACTTGACATAAAGTGTCAAAAATGCGAATTTGGTTCCTTATGCTGAATACATTCGATTTCCATAGCTTTTATAGCAGTGAGGATTTGTCATGCCTTCTGAATCTTGGCTGCTGTTTTCGACATCGTTATCTGTGCCGCCTGTAGTTGTAAAACGATGTTGCCTTAAGTGAATGAAAGAGGTGACTTCTTTTAGACTACTCTCAATAATCTTTGGATTTCATGGATGATTGATGTCTAATTCCTCACAGACTTGAAGACATACAGGCGAAAACCAATAGGTTGCCAGAATAAGAAGCAGCAGCATCAGCCAAAGCAGGACCCCAAGTGAACGTAGAGAAGGCAGAGACACAATGAAGATCCCTAAACCACAGTAACAAACATCAATGACTACCAGTGGGAGAAATTTGAAGGGAGCCACCTGTGTCGCTTACCTAGGCAACACCGTTTCAACTAGAAGTGGCACAGATGAAGGTGTCAAAGCTAGCAGCCAAGACTACAAAAGCTAGACAGACCTTCATCACTCTGAAACCTATGTAGAAGTCTACTGCACTCAGTGTAAGGGAGAAGATTCCAGTCATATGTGCAGTTATGGTCTGCAAAGAATAGAATAAAATTGAGATACTACGCTGATGAAGTCCTTTATTTCATTCGAGACACAGGGGAATAATAATAATAGTATGACTCTTTGTTTGGTGTTGAATGTCCCAGTTTTCCTAAGGCAAGAAAATGTTACACGTGTGTCTGAATTCTGAGTAGTATAGTTAAGCGTTTTCCCTTGCCGCATGTGTATATAAGATGGCTTATTCACTATGAGTGCTCTCAAGAAGTAATTTCTTGTTTCAATATCTTTTGTCTGCTGGCATGCATAAAAATTACATGCAAGTTATGAAGTTCCACAATACCCAGACTACTTAAAAGTAGTGTAGTGTTGTTTTCTTAAATCGTTTTATTTTTTAAAATTAAATTATCAATTCTTCTTTTGCACCCCCTATTAGTATTGTAGTTACGCTTCAATATACATGAGCGATTTTTATTCACCCCCCTTTGTTTTTAACACACACACACATACATACACACGTACATAGTCATTTATGCACAATAATAGCTGTTATTTGGCCAGTCATGTTATCATACCTGTCAGTCATACTCTAATTTTGTAAGTGTATATATATGTGTGTATGTATGTTCCGTGTTAGTGTGTTTGATTGTATGTATGTATGTCTGTACATCGACATCTTTCAATTCTTCTGCAGTCAGTCAGGCAGTCATGTGAACAGAATTTACACAGCTTGAACTTCCATAGCCTTTGATTTAACCTTTTATCATTGCAAAAGGTGATTCTATTTTATAAAATCAAATTCGATGAGAATTTTTCTCTTTTTTTGATCTTTGTATCATACTCCTCAATTTTATAATGTATACTCCTCAGAGGTTTAGAGTTCTTTCTTGACCTTTCCCACTTATTCTCTCCTTTGTTGTAATTTTCTTTTTTTTTATCAGACACCAGATGGTGACATCGAAATGAATTCAGTTGACAATAATACAACCAGTCATAACAACAATAATAATACTAATATTGTTAACTCTGCTACTACTACTAACTACGAATAATAACAACACCAAGGCAGTAGATGGATCAGGATTCTTCAGTACACTGATTGGCACACCAAGAGGGACACAGTGTTTCAGAACACCATTGATTATCCGTTTAGCACGAATACTCTGTCCTAATCTTGTTCAACCATTGCGTTTAGCTCGACGTCCTGGT